CTCACTCTCTTTTTGCTCCACAATCTCTGTATTCTCTTGTTTTTTCTCTTTTGCCACCACACTTTTTTTCTCATTAGCTATTACATTTCCACTCCTCAGTTGTATGGCTTTACAATGTTCTTTTGAGTTCACTACAGTGTCACTGGGAAAGGTACCAGGGGTTCTTTCTGATAGTTGTCTTGATATCTGCCTAATCTGGGTTTCAAGACTTTTGATTAAAGCTTCCTGATTCTTGAAATTTGTTCTGGTTTCATTCATGAAGTGAGAAGTTTGTTCCACAAAGCTAGATGTCTGCATAGATAATTTCTCCAAAGCATTTTCCAAAGTAGACATTCTGATCCCTTGAAAGTTGGTTTGTGTTTGATTGTTAGGAACCGTGGAGTATTGATATGGGGGTCTTGATTGTCCAAGTTGGGCTGGATTACCCCATTGCCTGCTTGACTGATTTCTCCAATTTGAATCATAATTGTTGAACTGACTGTGTTGTTGCTGTTGTACAACATTTGTTTGTACTTCTTGTTGATTAATTTGACAGTCACCATTTTGATGCATTCCCCCACAAAAATCACATACCAAAGGTGGTGTGTTAACAACTTTAACCTGCATACCCCCTAACTGTTGAGTTAAATATGTGATTTGTTGGGTTAATAACTTATTTTGAGCTAAAATGACATCCAAAGTACTAACTTCCAGCACTTCAGCTTTCCTATTTTGACGATCAAACTGCATGTGTACTGTATTATTTGCCATTAATTCCAGGGTTTCTAAGGCTTCCTCTGGTATTTTCAGGTTAAATGATCCTCCATTGACAGCATCCAACATTGCTTTAAAAGTAGGAGAAATGACATTGTAACCAATCTGGAAGTGCATGATGAGGGCATCTTTTTGTCAACTCCTTGAACCTCTCACATGCCTCATACAAAGATTCAGAGTCCTGTTGCATAAAGCTGGTGATCTCATTCCTCATCCTTGCTGACTTTGCTGGAGGGAAGTATTTGTTTACAAATTTTGTAGCCAAATCATCCCTTGAGGTTGTGATTGGAGTCATCCTTTGGCTTTGTCTCATAATGAAAAGGGAAAAAGCCTCAAGCGAATTGTATCATCAGTGGCTCCATTAATTTTCAATGTGTCGCAGATAGCAAAAAAATTCTCTAGGTGAGAATTTGGATCCTCTGAAGGTACACCTCCAATGTTGTATAACCTGCAACAGAGAAGGTTTAATTTCAAAATTATTTGTTTGTATAGGAGGTCTAACAATACTCCCCTTGTAACTATTTGGATTTGGCATGGAGTAGTCCCTCAATGTTATTTTGGGTTGCTCCATGACTGCAGTATGTAAATTGTGATTTGTTTCTTCTTGTTCTCTTCTCCTTTCTTTTTTTCTTTTTTGTGCACTTCCTCTATTTCTTCTGGCAGTGCGTTCAATTCCTAGATCAAACAGTAAATTTTTTGGTGCTATAGTACCTTGCATGAACCATGTTTAAAAGGTACAGAAGAGAAGCAAATAAAAGAAAAAAAATTCTGGAACCGTAAAAAAACTATAGCTCAAATCTCAAGTAAAAAAAAACTTTCTAATATCAACAAAAATTTTCAATCCCCGCAACGACGCCCAGGAAATTGATGTATATTTTTGGTAAGTGGACCAAATATTACAAAAGTAACCATTTTATTGTCCTCAGGGATTGAATATTTGTTGAATACCAGAACATTAATTTTTCCTATATTTGAGTAATCAAAGTTTAAAAGAATGACAACAGAAAAGATAATTTTCTTTTGCAGTAAAATATATGTTAGAGGATTAATGTCATATATCTTCTTACAAACTCCTAGCCTATTTAATTATGCAAGAATTAAATTTACCCACTAGAGTTAAAAGTGTTATTCACTTCCTAATCCCTTAGGTAAGTAAAATTATTCACTAAATTTTTAATTTCCCAATTCCTTGGAAGAAGAAAAATTCACTGAACCTTGGATGGTTAATATTTTGCTCCACAGAAACTAGTTAAGTTTGTATAATTTTCCAATTAAACAAAAACTCAACTTACCTTATCTATCAACGTAAACAATATCAATTTTTTCAAATATAACTGCTTAAAATTAAACATAAAAAACCATTGATAAAGTACTAGAGTAAATGAAATTGTAATGCATCAAGATAAATAGGTTCAGAATTTGTCTTACAAAATATTACATTAATCCTCTAACATAGGAAAAAAAGTTAGTCTTCCATCAAAGTTTCTAAAAACTCAAAACCTAAAAAACTTCTACGCTGCTTCCTTCTTCCATGCCTTCTGGTTCTGCTCTCTCCTCAACTTTTTAAACCTCCGTAGCCCCCTTTCCACGTCAGCCCTCCTTTCTGCACTTCTGTCTTTGCTCTGCTTCAGCCCAAGCCCAATAGCAAAGAAAATTAAGAACTCCACTGTCAGCCTATAAGTGATGTCAGACACGCAAGCCCACACCAAAATTGTTCCAATTGCACCTGCTTTTTCAACAAAATACAAATACTACACTACAAGTTAAATGATGCAATGGTAATATATAAAAACATTATTCAACAGTTACAAAAAATACATGCAATTGACCTAATTTAATCTATAAATATGAGGAAAAATAGCATGCACCAAATAGCTTAAAAAAAGAGAAATGTTATATACCTCCATTCTTATTTATAAACAAAAAATACCACTTTTTCCAAATATAAGTAAATTTTAATTATTTTAACTTAATTTGATGATATTTCTTTCTAAAGTACCTTAATAAATGTTAATTTTTTGTTACAGCATCATAATATTTTACTCTCTTTTTTTATATACAAAAATGACACTTTCGAAAGAATATAAGATAAAATATAGTATTTAACTATTTTTTTAAATGTGTGTGAAATTATGAATTTATTTACTTTTTGCATGAAGAAGGAGCTAATATGATTTTATGAAATAATATATATTATTGTTATTTTTCTCAAGTGTTGCCACTAAATTTAGTGTGGGTAGTTGGACTTGGTGGTTAGGGTTAATGCCTAGAAAGTGCAAGAAAAAGCAATGGAAAGAGTAGTAGTTAGTTAGGTTAGCTAAGCATAAGGAATAATAGTAGTTGGTAGTTAGTGGTTAGCTAAGTGTCTCAAATGAAAGACACAAAATGTAATGCAAAATCCCTCCTTTCGATCATGGCCTTTCGTAAGCATAAATTTTACTTTTACTTGGGATAAGTGATAAATTCCCTCATACAATATAGGAAAATATGAAGTAGGGTTTCACGTGCTTCTGATTTGTACTATTGGTAATAGTCACGTAAAGATAACCTCATGGTAACTGCGTGAAAGTGTTAAAGGTTTCCTTCATAAAGAAGTGTTCTGCGACTTTATCCTCCCCGTGAGGTTGAAAACTCAGTTTGTGGGGGCTCCAACATTTGAAGTCCCATCAATTGGGACGTTTCATGGTGGTTAATCTTTAATTTGGATGTTATATAAAAGCATATAGGGTCAATTTGAAGGAACCCAATACTCTCTTCTTGGTGCTTAGAGTCTCAACAAGATATGATTTTGTGAATAACACTTTTAACAACATCCCACATGGGGTTAGAAAGTGAGAAGAATGACTAGTGGGATATTTATTTAGCTTCTGACCCACTCGTGCCAAAGTGTCTGTCACTTTTTCAAAAGCTTCATTAGTGCTTCCATAAACAAATGCGTTACTGTTTCGACACAAATTAACTACATAAAAATAAACAAACTAATTATGAACAGGTTTAATAATCATAATACAAAAATATAAAAAGGAAGAAGAAGAAGAAGCAATGTTTCCATAATTTATCCTTTTACATAGAACCCATTTTCAAATGAAACTATCTTAGAAAACGAAAGCTCATTTACCTTAACATTTATATCTATTCTGTCTTGTTTTCTTATTTTAAGAATTGAAAAATATTAATTGTTTTTAACATTTTGTGAACATTTAAATTAGGGTATAGAAGATGAAAACAAAATACTTTAACAACTATCAATAAAAATAAATGAACCTGATCCTGATGTTTTCGTATAGAAGAACCACACATTGTGATGTTTGGAATCTCATTTTCTAAACAGAAACATAAATCCCCATGAACTTACACATTATCTACAAGTTATGGTTGGCTAGTTTTTAAACTAGAAGTGGATGAGGATCCAAAGATGCAGAGAGGAGATTACTGAAAAGAGAACGTGATTTGGGCATTTGAATTTGACGTGTAGCACTAGAATTTTTTGAAATGATATCGTGGACAAAGGAGTGAATAATAACTAATATCCCTAGCAAAAGTGAAAGATATGTAAACATAAAAAGAACGGAAAAATCTTCAACGTAAAGTCACCACATCATACAAATGGATGGCTACGATTGGTTATGGTTATGACAAGACGCAGAGCAAGAGAGTGAAACATGAGACGAGACAAAGTAATAGAGGTAGTGCCGCGTTTGGTTTGGACGTTTATGAACAGCAAGTTGGTTAATGGCCGTTAATAGGTTATCATTTCATCTTTAACAACTAAAGTCAAAATGTCTACTTCTTACCATTACCACTCTGCTTTTGCAGCACTAAAAAAAAAGAATCAATAAAAAGAAGACCATCATCAAAAAATTTATTAATTATAAAAAATGTAAAGACTTGAAATACAGGTGACATCAACAGAAAATGACGTTTATATTAATCAAATGTGCAACATATAATGATAAGTAATTTATATATATAACACAAAATATTGGTATATATTTTATAATATATCTAAACAGTAAAGAAAATTATATTTTGCAAATATATAATGAGAAACCCACTTTTTTTTTAAGAATTTGTTTTTTTTTTTAAAAACATATCTATAAATTTACAAATAATATTGAGAGATGTAATGAATCACTTACCCTAATAATTACGTTAATATCTGTTGCACCTTGTACTGTAATGTTGAGAGTGAATTAAACCTTAGAAAATCTAACAGTGACTTTAACAAACTGAAAGATACTGAGAAAATGGTTTTGGAATATATGCTAAAGTTGAACTTCAAGAAATGGAGAAGGTAGGGAGAATTACCCATCACTGGGATATAATAATAAGTCTCTGTAATTTCTCTTTTATCTGACAACATAAACCTGATATGATTTTTGAATTCTCGTTGTTTCTTTCTTTCTGAGTGTTACTGTGATGCTGTGGTCCACAGGAACAAAATTCAAAAGAAAAATGATGTTATCAAAATCCAAGTTGATTTTGAAGAGAAGGCAATGAGAAAAGGCCAAAAGGGTGCATGTGCAGCTGCTACCTTGAGAAGTCGTGAAAGTACTCACAGATCGCTTTCAAAGGGCAAATGGCACATACGTTGGTTGGATTTAAGCATTGGCAACCACAACCAAACTACACTCATGCCTGCATGTGATGTGCAGTGCAGCCAGCCACTGCATTTACCAGGAAAGACTAACATAACACAGCATGCTTTGATTTGAATCCCTTTGTCTCAAACACTGGTTTTTTCTTTGGTTTTACGTGTCATTCTTGTTCATTGGTGCAGCTTAGAAGATAACCCACAGAAAAAATTTTAGACGATTGAATAAGTTAGAAAATTTATTCTTGAATTGAGCAATTTTGTTCCTTTGGGAAAACGATAAGGATTTTTTTTTTCTCAAATGTTTATCACTTTATAATTTCAATTCAAAATTAAACAAATTGGATTCTTCCTGTTTTTTTTTTTTTAGTTTTCATAACTAAGAAAAAATTAATAAAATGATGTTCATAATTTTTCAACTTATAGACATATATTTACTCTTACTTCAATGGAGATGTATTGTTAAAATCTTTTTTTAGCCATCGCGATTACTTTTTAGGTCAATGGATTTTGAAAAAAAAAAAAACTAATAAAAATAACTTTAAAAGTTCTAAAAATAATATTATTTTTAAATAAAAAAAAAGGAAAAGAGTAACCATAGCCATTTACAAAGGTAAAAAGTTTGTTTTGATACTTGTCAACCACAATTATTAATTATACAAAGGGTTAAAAAGTGTCTAAGAATTTTTATAACTATAATTGTAATTTTTAGGAACTAATTGAAAGTTTTAATTTTATTATTAAAATAATGTATTTTAGATAATTTTATTGAAGATAAAATTAGGATTTCACCAAAATTCTTTATATATATATATATATATATATATATATATATATATATATATATATATATATATATATATATATATATATATTTCTCTGTTTTGGATTCATATCAATGTTCCCTTTTGACACATGCCAAATTAATATATTTAAGACCAATAAATAAAATAACCTAATTTGACGAACAAATAAAAAAAAAAAAATAACAGTCTCACTTAACTCTGTATAGACAATAACTAGTAAGAATTTTACATAAGTTTTCAAGTTTTTTACAGATACATTTATAAATTAAATACATAAAAAATAATTTGTAATAATCATTAAAGTTCTATTACATTTGCGTATTTTTTGTATATTTTATATTTAAATATTATTTTTCCTTTCAATGAGTGACTAATTTTTTGTGTTCATTTAATATATTATAAGATTAAATTAAAATATCTTCATAAGTTAGTTAGAACAGAATGAAAAATATTTGATACAAAAATAAATTCAGAGATATTGAGTGATGACGATTGAAAACAAACATGGCAAGAAACAGTGAACATATTTATTAAGGAACACTAATGGCGAGAATCGCGGTTTGAGATTATTTTCACGTAAAATCTCACATCAATTTTATCGTTTTTCATGAAGATCTTATCTTCAAATCGTTAGTATTAATCACTTACTAATCAAATCCAGCTGTGTAGAAAGACAATTATTTTTTTTCACTAATGTCATTTTATTTTCTTTAATTTTTGTATGTTTTATTTTCCTATATTAAATAACTTTTTTATTTGTATGGTTGGGAATAGAGCGATGAAGAATAACAAGAGATGTTGAGTTGCATAGGAACGGTCCGTGAGTGCAAAGAAGACCCACAAACAGAGCACAGACAGGGAGATATGGGCATACACAGGGCACGTAGCTGTGTTCTAGTTGTTGGTGATGAAAAATTATTTTAGATATAAAATATTTTCTTTTTACATATTAAACTTTTTATAAAATATCATTACATAATATAATATTTACTTAAAAAAATTATTTTATAACATTATAACCTATATATATATATATATATATATATATATATATATATATATATATATATATCACCGAAATTATGCTTACATTTAAATTTTGGAATGTTACTTCCTTTCAATAATTTCACTCAAATATTAATATGTTCTTAATATTTTTAGTATTTAATATTATGATAAAAATCAAAATATATTATTACACATAAATTTTCTTGAATTTTATTGATTATTTTGAGTATATTTAGATAGGTGATAATGGTATATTATAAATAGTTAAGATTATTTAAATTAAATGATAATTGAAAAATTAGATATCTTTGTTAAACTAGTACTCTAGAATTATTTAATCCAAAATACTAAACATTTCTATTTGGATATTTAATAATTTATTCTACTTCCTCAAAAAATAAACGATATATTATAATAAATCAATTTACTTACCACATCTCCCAATTAAAAAAGGAAAAACAATTTCAATCACCCGTAATAAATCAAACCAAGTTTCTCATTAAATTCATTATTTTTTATTAATATATATATATATTATAAATTTTACTAATAAACTAGTATAAAATATTACTATTCAATTATAATTAAAAATTCATTTATAATTATTCAAATTTTAATTTTAATATTATTACATATTTATATATTTTAAAATAATGAAATATATATTTTTTAAAGTTATATTTAATTTGAATATTCAAAATAAGAATAAGATGGATTAATTTAGACAAAAAAATTGACAATTTTGGTTATAAAATATTAAAAGCAATGTGTTTAACACTCTTATCACCAAAATATACATACTAAATGATATTTTTTAATACAATCTTGTATATAAAATATTATTTATTTTAAAGTTATAAAAATACGTGTTTAATATAAAATAATTAAAAGACTATTGAAATAAAATATTTAATTACAATAAATTTTTCGAAATATTTCTTTCCTGTATTTTTTTTATTAATCTTGTGAACGCAAGTCCTGATAATTCTTTAAATTTCTAGATTAAATGATCTTAATATTTTAAATACATTTTATATAGAGAAATAGTAAGATGGTGGGAAAAATCTCAAGTTGTTTATGATGAAGCACAATTATTAATCATAAAGTTAAATTTATCCTTACATTAGAATGTTGCACGAAGGGCACCAGATTCGTATGCTTATGTTATGCAGCCAATAAAAAATAAAACATTTTGACCACCAACACTCCCAGACATTTGTTGTTGTCTTCTGGTACCACTCCTTTCAGATATTGTGGATACTGTCGTATTATATTGTATAGTCATCATTGATTCAAATTCTCTGCAACCATTTTCACCTAATCACCCTCACACATTACTATATTCTTCCATCTCACCCTCTCACTACTACAGAATTCACTTTCTACGACATCATCCAACGTCGGTTATCACGAAGATCGACGTTGTACAAGACGCGGTGGCAAACTTGTAATTATGAAACAAAATTTAACGTCGGTTATATCATAACTGACGTAGTAACTGGAATTCAACGTCGGTTATATGACAGACGACGTTAAATGTTTAAATTTAACGTCGGTTATGTATAACCGACGTTGAATTCCCAAAATCAACGTCGGTTACATGATTTACCCGACGTTGAAAGCGTTATCCACATCGGGTTTTCTAATAACCGACGTTGAATGTCCTATCCAAGGCGCGCGGTTATTCAACTTCTTCTTCGTCCCACATATTCCCTCCTTCTGCTTCTTCTTCGCTGTGCCTCAGTCCTCATCATCGCCCCTCGCCGCCCCTCGCTTCGCCTCTCGCCGCTGCTACCTCATTCGCTGTTGTCTGCTGCCCACTCACCGCCCACTCGCCGCGCTTCGCTCCTCGCCATGCTACCTCCTTCGCCACCCACTCGCCGCGCTCTCATCAGGTTAGATTAAGTTGTATGGATGATTTACAGCATGCATTTAACATAAATATGGATTATTTAGAGCATTTCCTGCGTATGAACATTAGAAAGATGATGGATGATTTTGTATATATGGTTTGATTTGATCTAGGTTCGTTTAGGTTTCGAAGTGGTATATGGAACATTAGGTTTCGTTTAGGTTTAGGTTTAGGTTTAGGTTTAGCTTTCGAAGTGGTATATGGAACATTAGAGCATGTATGGAACATTAGAGCATTGTTAGGCAATGTACACATTTTTTTTGTATTGTATTGTTAAACATTTTCTAATAAACCTTGAATATCTAGGCAAGCCTTCTTGTGTAGTTAGATGGATCGAACTTGGGTCAATGCAAGTCGTATGTCAGAAGAGTATGAGAATGAAGTTGACTCCTTTTTGAAATTTGCCGAACAAAATGCTCCCAAAATGAATGGAAAAATCTACTGCCCATGCGTTAATTGTGTAAATGACAGAGTACAAGAGATGGACACAACGCGGGAGCATCTTATTTGCGATGGGATGATGAAGAATTACACCATATGGACATGGCACGGTGAAGTGGTTGATATTCCAACAGTATCACAAACTATTGAGGATGATGTAACCTGCGAAGATCGAATAGAGGACATGCTTTGTGATGTGGGTCAAGAGAGGTTTCTTGAAGCACATGCATCTATATATGATACATTGAGGACCGATTCAGAGACACCTTTGTATCCCGGATGTACAACTTTCACACGGTTGTCATCTCGTGTTAAGATTGGTCAATCTAAAAGCAAAATTTGGTTGGAGTGATACAAGTTTTAATGAATTACTCCAACTTTTGAAGGAGATGCTCCCAGACAATAACACCTTGCTTGGACCGTATGTATGAAGCGAAGAAGATACTATGTCCGATGAGTTTAGAATATAGGAAGATACATGCTTGCCCTAATGATTGTGTGTTATACAGAAAGAATTCTCATCTTTAGACCAATGTCCAACATGTGGTGTATCACGTTACAAAGCGAAGGATGGTGATGATTGTAGTCGGGAGAGTGGTAAAAAACGTCCTCCTGCAAAAGTTTTATGGTATCTTCCAATTATTCCAAGATTTAGGCGGTTGTACGCTCACGAAGATGCTTGAAAATTTAATTTGGCATTCAAAGAGAAAAACATGTGATGGGCAAATGCGACATCCATCCGACTCTCCCCAATGGAAGAATTTTGACCGTCTATTTCCAAGTTTTGGTAGTGATGCAAGAAACCTTAGACTTGGATTAACAACAGATGGGATGAATCCTTTTGGAAATTTAAGTAGTAACCATAGTTCATGGCCCGTTTTATTGATGATTTACAATCTTCCACCATGGTTATGCATGAAGCGCAAATATGTCATGTTGTGTATGATGATTTCA